GGCAGAGGAAGGGGGAGGGCGGATGTCACACTCCTTTGTTTTCACTGGAGTCTGGTAGTGGGGGCGGGAGGCCGGAAAAATGCCTTTTTGTGGGGCCTGAGAACATTCAAGGCTTGGCACAAGGGCCCAGAAATTAAATCATCTAAAACACCAAGTGTTTGTGGTCGGCATAAGTCACATGGGCAAAGGCCAACAGCCATGGTGGAAACGAGCAGATAGTCAACACAGGGCCGTCTTTTTTAGCTACTTTAACCAGTTTCTGGAGAAACAAAAAACAGCTACAAAAAGCAAGAGCCGTGCTGCATCTTTGAGCGGCCGAGTGGAGAGAGTGATGCTGAGTGAAGTGAGGCAATGATGTGGACCAGGCTCTCCCAGGAGCTTAACGCACCACATCTGAAGGCTCTTAATATAATTGAACTCTGTCAGAACGGAGGCACCGTTTAGGGCCAGAATCTGGCTGTAATCAGCCCGTTTGTGGGGGAATGTGAAAACTGTGTCAGTTAAAAAGTACTTACTAGAATCAGTAACAGTATTTGAAGAGTCAGAAGTAAAATAGGAATTTATTTTGATTAAACGTCTGGAGTTTGATGTTTTTTAAAGATAGTAAATGAAGATCATATAAAAGTTAAGTTAAAAAAACTTTAAAAATTATCCCAGAGGTTATCTAGAGATTATTTCCCGATTAAACATAAATAAAGTTCATTATTCCCCCATATCAGTATGGAAATATTGATGGCAACACTTGAAGTTCATGTCTCCTGATTCTTTCAAGATTACTAAAGAGTCGATTTAAGTTTTAATAAGCTAAGTGTACTAGCTTTGTAGAAATCACATTATAATGTTTGAGTTTGTTCTTTATTTAAAGTATAAAAAGAAATAAGTGTAGTGAATTTTGTTTCCCCTTTGAAAGTCTAGAAAACCAAGTTGATATAGTACAAAGAAGTGCCACCAACTATCTGTGTATTTGTTTTTCATCTGCATCGTGAGTGGAAGATTTAATGAATGATGAACTACCCTAAAAAGTTTCAGTGACCATTAGAAGAATAACAAGAGGTTGAAACTATTTTTTTTTTTCTTTACAGAATTGTCACTGAGGTTGCTGTTGGTGTGAAGGTAGGAGAAGATTGAAACTAATGGAAACTGGATTGCTGAATCTATTATCATTAATGAAACTTTTCACTTAGCTTTTGAAAACTAATACAGCTAACAAAACCCAAGTGTGAAGTATTTCATTTTTAAAGTTGAATTACATAGTTTATAACCTAAATAGACAACAACCATACGATTTTCTAGAAAGAGAGACAATAACATGTTAAAGGAGGTGTGAACGGTGTTCAAGGAATTAAAAATGCTCTCAAACATGGCTTTTTGTGAATATAAAATGATACCCCAGTTTTCTGAGGGAAATTATGGTTTTTAATGGGTAGATAAGTAATTTGATGTAAATCATAATTTTATTAATCTAAGGCTTTTTACTTTTTTTATGAAGACTAAGATAGTTTTGCTAGTAGCCACATTTGTTACCCTGATCCTTGAAAATAAACTTGTTTATTAGACAGTTAGTTTCAAATTTGAGTCAGAAGTTAAGAGCTGGTTTGTCTTTTTATTAAAGGAAGATAGGCTTGATGGTAGAGATTATTTGGAATTTTTCCTCAATCACTTTTTGGCCAGGAAAACTATTCATTCTTTATAACTTAGTTCTAATGAGTAGGCCTTTTGTTTCCTTGAATTCATATTTTAACATCAAGGTGCATTACAATTTCGTGTTTGTAAGCCTCTCTACCCTTTTAGGGCATGGTTCTTGTCTTATATATTTTCCAAGCTTGGCACATCTTCCCAGCCTATTCCTTGAATAATCTTGTTTAGTTATAATGTTGAAATGCAGTAAGAACTTAACGCTGGTTTATATTAATTAGTCTGTGGCAAAATTGCTTGTGTTATACATGTGTTGCTTAAAGTTGCAGAACCTATCAGTGAAGTTAAGTGAGGACTTACCTCTACTCAAATACTTGTTGGATGCAGTGACATTCTTCCTCCAAGTGTGAATCTTGAGAGGTGATGCTGACCAGGATATTTTTTAGAACTTTAAAATTTCATTCGTAACAATGTGATAGTCTTTAAAATACTTTTGGTGGTATTTTGTGTTTCCTTGGTTATTTTCTGTCCTCTGCCTTATGGTGGTCCAGATACTTTGTGCTTTAATAGACATATTTGTTAAGTTCATATTATGTAGATTGGTGGTGAAAGAATGAGCTTTTGGCAGGGGGCATTATTTGGCAGTATTATTTTCTAAGGTGAGATAGATGTAGGATTTGAAATGGGGAATTGCTCAAAAGTGCAAGATATAGATATTGTTGTTACCATCCAAACATATTCTCTGAAAGTGAATTTTGTAAAAGAATAAATGATACAAGTCTGAGATGTCTATTACTAGACAGATAAGTAATTTGATAGAATGAACTAGAGAAGACCCAGAATGAGAAGGCAGAGAGAAAAGAGACACGGTGTAGGATGTCCAGATATGGTTTATTGGTTATACCAGTTTTCTGTATTAGTAGTTTGAGGAGAAAATATTAGAAAATGATATAAAAATAATTGCTTACCATTTTTTGCCCATCGTGTAATACAAAAGTTTGAATAACTAAAGTTATGTTTTATATAATTTTCTGGAATAGTGGTTAAGAATTTTTGCTTTGGCGTCAGACCTATGTACAAATAATTAAGCTTTCCTAATTTTTTAAAAATAAAAGTAATATATATGGTTTTAAAAAGTTCAGAGTGCAAAGTATTTCTCACTGATTCCCAGTTCTGTTTCTCACATGTAGGTATTACGTTAAAATATTTCTGGTGCATTTTTTTCTGAAATGTTTATGTTTACCCCAGGTATGGACATCCTTGTTTGTTTATGCAAATAGATTAATGCTATGTGTGCTGGCCTGTATCTTGCCTTGCCTTTAAAAAAAAAAAAAAAGCTTTTTTTGAGATATTTACTATCAACTATATTTAAAGTATACCCTGTTTTGACATACGTATACACCTATGAAACCATTACCACAATCAAGATAATGAACGTCTGTCAACCCCAAAATTATAATTTTGACCTTATGTAATCCCTCCCATCTTTCCCCAAGCAACCACTGATCTGCTTTCTATCACTATAGATTAGTTTGCATTTTTTAGAATTTTAAATAAATAGAATAGTACAGCATATGTCCATTTTGGGTCTGGCTTATTCTACTCAGCATAATTATTTTGAGAGTCACCCATGTTATATATCAATAGTCCATTCCTTTTTATTGCTTAGTATATTGTATAGGTATATACACTTTGTTCATTCAACTCTCGATGGATATTTGGGATGTTTCCAATTTGGGGTTATTATAAATAAAGCTGCTGTGAGCATTCTTGTACAAATCTTTGTCTGAACAAATGTTTTCATTTCTCATGGGGAAATACCTATGATTGGAATGCCTGGAACATATGGTAGGCATATCTATCGTTAGCTTTTTAAGAAACTGCAAACTGTTTTCCAAAGTGGTTGTACCATTTTACATAGCCACCCACAGAGCATGAGATTTCCACACCAAAGGGTTTAAATCTCTTTGCCTACTTTTTAAATTGGGTTCTTTATTACTGAGTCTGGTTACAGGTCCTTAGAATATTTTCTGGCACTTGTGTTTTCATTCTCTTAACAGTGCTTTTTGAAGAGCAGCAGTTTTAAAATCTGATAAACTTAAGCTTACTAATGATTTTCTTGTATGGATCACCCTTTTGGTGTCATATCTAAGCCATCCTTGCCTAACCTGATTTTCTCTTTTGTTTTCCAACAGAAATTTTTTAGTTTTTGGCATTACATTGAACTCTTTTTGAGTAAATTTTTAAAATATGGTACAAAGTCTGAATCAACATTTTTCGGTGTTGGGTATGGACATCTACTTTTCCTAAAAGTACCGTATGTTGAAAAGACTATCCGTTCTTCCTTGAATTGGCTTAGCACCTTTTGTCAAAAATCAATTATGTATGTCTGTTTGATTCTATTTCTGTACTGTATTTTTTTCCACCGACTCTTTTTTTGTCTACCTAGAAGCCAAAAACATATTGTCTTAATTACTGTAGCTCTATGTTAAGTCTTGAATTCAAGTAGAGCTTTGTTCTTTTTCAAAGTTGTTTTGGCTCTTCTGGGTCCTTTACATTTTCATATGAGTTAGTGTCTACAAAACCTGATGGGATTTTATTGGAATTAATGACTCTATAGAGCAACTTGGGGAAAATTGACAAGTGTTGAGTTTCTCACCCGTTAATACATATTTACTTAGATCTCTAATTTCTTTCAGCATTGTTTTGAGTTTTCAGTGTACAGACTTTGTATATTTTTGTCAGATTCATCCCTATATAGTGTTTCCTGTTGCTGTTGTAGATATTTTAAAAATTCAATTTCCAATTGTTACTGGTATATAGAAATATAGATTATTTTTGCATATTGCTCTTGCATTACACGTTTGCCAAACTCACTTGTTAGATTTAATAGCTTTTTTGTAGATGCCATCAAATTTTCTTCACAGACTTTTTCCTTTTGTGTCTGTATGCCATTTTTATTGCCTATGACATCTAGTACAATGTTGAATATAAGTGATGAGAACAAGCATCCTTACTTTGTTCCTGATGTTAGGATGAGCACCCTAAATGATATGAATTCTTTCTTAAATGTTTGGTATAATTCACCTGTGTAGCTGTGTGGGCCTGGTGTTTGTTTTTGTGAAGAGGTTTTAAACTACATGTTCAATTTATTTAATAGACATAGGACTATTCAGGTTATCTGTTTCTTTTTAAGTGAATTTGTGTTTTCTATAGAATTAGTCTGTTTTATCAAAGTTGCTGAACCTATTTGCATAGAGTTCATAATATTATCTTTTTAAACTTTTGATATATATAAAATCTATAATGATGTCAACTCTCTCATTCCTGATACTGATAATTTGTGTCTTTTCTCTTTTTTCCCCTCATCAGATTGGCTAGAGGTTTATTGATTTTAGTAATATAAATAATCCAAAAATCAGCGTTTGGTTTTGCGTTTTCTCTGTTTTTTTTTTTTTTATTGATTTCTCTTTTTTTCTACTGCTTTGTATTCAGTTTGCTTTTTTTATACTTAGCTAACATGGAAGCCGATGTTATTGACTTGATACTTTTTCTAATATAGAAGTTTATTGCTGTATACTTCCGTTTAAGTACTACTTTTATGGCATCCCTCAAATTTTGACATACTTTATTTAGTTCAAAATACATTCTAATTTTTATTTTTTTGACCTATGAGTTATTAAGAAGTACGTTATTTAATTTCCAAATACTTGGAGTTTCCCATATATATTTCTTTTATTTCTAATTCCATTATGACTAGAGAACATATTTTAAGACTTGAACCTTTGTAAATTTGAGACTTGTTTTATAGTACAAATTGATATTCTGTTAATTTTAATTGCACTTGATAGGGATGTGTATTCTGCTGTTGTTGAGTGGTATATTCTATAAATGCCAATTAGATCATGTTTACTGATACTGTTCAAGTAATCTAACCTTTCTGATTTCCTGTCCTATCATTTATTGAAAACAGGATATTGAAATCTCCACTTATGCTATACATTTGTCCGTTTTTCTTTGGAGTTGTACCAGTTTTTGCTTTTTTCCCCCCAGGTTTTATACTTAGGATTACTGCGTCCTCTTGATACATTGGCCCTATTATTATTATGACCAGTTTTATCCTCGGCAATATTCTTTGCTTTAAAATCTACTTTTTCTGATATTAATATAGCCATCTCATCTTTCTTTTGAATAGAGTTCACATGGTATATCTTTTTCCATTCTCTTGTTTTCAGCCTTTTTGTGTCCTTAAAGTATGTTTCTTGTAGATAGCATCAAGTTGGGTCTTGAATTTTAAATCCAATCTTATACCCTCTTTTAGTTGTTAAGACTGTACCCATTTAATGTTATTACCAGTATGGTTAGCTTTAAAACTACCTCTTTGCTTTTCGTTTTCTATTTGTCCCTTGTGTTCTTTGTTCCCTTTTTTGTTTTCTGCTTTTTTAAATTATTTTTTTATTCCATTTTATCTCTTGTTA